ACAATAATCCACACTTTTAATCCAGTTTACAATAATCCACACTTTTAATCCAGGTTACAATAATCCACACTTTTAATCCAGGTTACAATAATCTACACTTTTAATCCAGGTTACAATAATCTACACTTTTAATCCAGGTTACAATAATCCACACTTTTAATCCAGGTTACATTGTGTACATTTATTTTTTTAAGCTATTTGACTAACTTTTATTTTTTATTATTCAATATTTTACTAACAGAATAGTCAAATAGCAACCTGTTTTTTGTGTGAACTGCTATGTCAGTCAAATGTTCAATTTTGGAATAAATGGGTGAAAATTAAAACCTTTAGGTTTTTTTCCGATTCATCGATTAATTGGGGGGGTTGTCAGATTAATCGATTATTAAAATAATCGTTAGTTGCAGCCCTACTGCAAAATAGAACTGGAGCAACCACAACAGCACGTCGTCCATGTTGCAGTGTCTGAAGAGGAAACAGCCGCTGTAGCGTGAAACTCGTCCGCAGCTCTAACAGGTATCGTGTTCTCTTTGCAAACTATGTTCACCTAAATGTGTGATCATCTGTCCTGTTATCGATGAGGCCTGTTGTTGCCAACGTTAAATCTACTGACTGATCATAGAGGCTCCCTGGCAGGGTCTGTACGCTGTGTGAGGAACAAACTGTGCAGGACTTGATGAAAGTTTGTTAACGATCAAAGCAGCAACAGACTGACACATTTTTTTATTGCTGAACTTCCATCCTGACTTAATGAGATGTTTAGGGTGAATATTTCAAGTGTAAATGTTTTTACACGAGTTGGTAGGATTTTTTTTTCTTCTACTGCTGTTTGACTGAAAACTGAGATTAATCTGCATTTATTACTACTGTCATGTTTGTTAATAGCTCAGCAATCAAGACTAAATAATAAAGCAGTCTTAATAAAAATAGCTGTGTATTTTTACTATTTACATTTACAAGTTAATTCTGCAGAACTCAATGTACAAACTCAAACTTTTCCATTATCTATCACACAATTTCTAACATGAAGATTCTATTCATTCATTCCATTCCAACATGATTGTTAAATCATGTTTCTTCCAACTGAGGCGGCTGTCTAAACTGAAGCCCATATTGTCCAAAAAGAACCTGGAGACAGTAATACATGCATTCATTACATCTAGGCTTGATTACTGCAATTCACTCCTGTTTGGTATCAGTCAGACCTCCATTGCACGACTACAACTGGTCCAGAATGCAGCAGCCCCATTTTTAACCAGTACAGGCAAAAGAGAGCACATTACACCAGTTTTGGCCTCACTGCACTGGTTACCAGTTCACCTTCGAATCCAGTTCAAAATACTCATGTATGTCTACAAATCACTGAACAGCTCTGCACCCTCCTATCTCTCTGATCTGCTGCAGCCATATGTCCCACTGCGTTCCCTGAGGTCAGCGGACCAGTTGCTCCTCACAGTTCCAGGAACCCGTCTTCAGCACAGAGGTGGCCTTCTCTGTAGCAGGACAAAGACTTTGGAACGAGTTACCTCTGCTTGTCAGACAGGCCCCCTCACTCACAGTTTTTAAATCCTGCTTAAAAACCCACTACTATTCCTTGGCTTTCATCACTGTAATATATATATATGTATATGTATATGCACTGTATATATATATGTGTGTGTGTGTGTGTATATATAT